CCTCAGGTGTGTCCCAGGTAGACGCCGTTGACCCGGTCGAGGTTACTGGTGACTCTGGTGCTGCTGCGGGTGCTGGGCCTGGGGGTGCTGCCTCTGGGGGTGCTGTGCGCGGGGGTGCCGGGCCTGGAGGTGCTGCCACTGGGGGTGCTGAGCCTGGGGGTGCTATGCCTGAGGGTGCTACTGCGGAGGGTGCTGAGCCTGGGGGTGCTGAGCCTGGGGGTGCTGAGCCTAGGGGTGCTGAGACTGGAGGTGCTACGCCTTGGGGTGCTGAGCCGGGGGGTGCTGTATCAGGAGCTGCTGAGCCTGGGGGTGCTGAGTCTGGAGCTGCTGCGCCTGGGGGTGCTGCGTCTGGAGCTGCTGAGCCTGGGGTTTCTCCTGCTGCTGCGTCTCGCCGGGAGCCCCTCTCTCCACAGGAGCTGCGCGAGTGGTTTGCTCGCCGCTGGAGGCATGCTGCTGGAGCTGGAGCTTCTTCGACTGTCGAGGGTGCTGGTCCTGCCGGTCCCAGAGCTGCTGGGCCTGCGGGTCCTACTGGAGCTGGAGCCACTGAGGGTGTTGGTGCTGAGACAGCTGCTGTCTGTCCTGGCGGTGGATCTGCTGCTGGTACTGCTGGAGGTACTGGTGGCGCTGGTGCTGTCGCTGAGGGTGCTGGTGCTGTACCTGCTGAGTCTGGAGTTGCCGCGCGGCCTTGGCCGTACTTCGTTCCGCTCCTGCAGCAGGTTCTTGGTCTTTCTCCTCCGGTAGAGTGTCCACAGCCTGTCCAGTCGCAGTCCCTGTTGGAGCCTTCCTCTCCACTGCCTGCTCCCTCTCCTTACACTGGTCCTACTTGAGGTCTTGCTGAGCGTCGTGAGCCTGCGTCTCGTCCTGCGTCGCCTGTTCGTGCTGCTCGCACTAGTGGTCGCGGTTCGCGTCAGCGTCCTCCTCCTGTCCCTAGCACGCACCGGATGTCTCTGCGTCCGTCCACTACTCCTCTGCGTGCCCCTTTGCCTTCTCCTCCTGAGTCCTCTCTTCCTGCGCTTGCCGACCCTGAGTCGGACTCCCTTCGTGCTGCCAGTCCTACTGTCACGCGTCTCCTTGCTACTGTCGTCACTGACCCCTCGTTTGAGTCCACTGCTGCGTCTGCCCTTGTCGCTGAGCTCGTCGACTTTTCTGCTCGCTGTCGTCTAGACTACGCTGCTAGTCTTGTTTCTGAGTCAGCGTCTGACTGTCCTCCGTCCGTCGGGGGTGACTGTGCTCTTGGCACGGACGTCCTAGAGGACAGGCAGGAGGAGTTACAGTGTCTGGCGGCTGCTTCACCTCATCTCGCGTCTGTACTGCTTGCTCCTGAGGGAGACCCGGATGCACTAGACATCCCGACTCCGCGCTCTTACGCGGAGGCCGTAGAGGGTCCCTACTCCTCTCAGTGGCAGGCAGCTATGGATGCAGAGATGGCTTCCTGGAAGTCCACAGGCACCTACGTTGACGCAGTTCCCCCTCCTGGGGCCAACATCGTCAGTGGCATGTGGATCTTCAGGGTGAAGCGGCCGCCGGGCTCTCCACCTGTCTTCAAGGCGCGGTACGTTGCTCGTGGCTTCAGTCAGCGGCAGGGAGTTGACTACTTTCAGACCTTCTCTCCCACCCCGAAGATGACCACTCTTCGGGTGCTGCTGCACATAGCCGCTCAGCGCGACTACGAGCTTCACTCTCTCGACTTCAGCACTGCGTTCCTGCAGGGTAGCCTGCACGAGGAGATCTGGCTGCGCCGTCCACCTGGCTTCACTGGGACTTTCCCTCCTGGCACCCAGTGGAGCCTCCGACGGCCAGTCTACGGTCTCCGCCAGGCACCGCGTGAGTGGCACGACACACTGAGGACTACGCTTGCGGCTCTTGGGTTCGCTCCTTCTACTGCTGACCCGTCGCTGTTTCTGCGCACCGACACTTCTCTGCCGCCGTTCTACATCCTCGTGTACGTCGACGACTTGGTCTTTGCCACAGCGGACACTGCTGGACTCGCCTACGTGAAGTCCGAGCTGCTGAAGAGACACACGTGCACAGACCTGGGTGAACTGCGCAGCTACCTTGGCTTGCAGATCACTCGGGACAGAGCACGCCGCACCATTACCTTGACTCAGTCACACATGGTGCAGCAGGTCCTTCAGCGCTTCGGCTTCACGTACTCCTGGCCTCAGGCCACTCCTCTGTCTACTCGCCACTCGCTCTCAGCTCTGCCTTCGGATGAGTCCGTAGAGTCGAGTGGCCCGTACCCAGAGCTTGTTGGCTGCCTCATGTACCTGATGACCTGCACACGACCTGACCTTGCATACCCTCTGAGCATTCTTGCACGCTATGTTGCTCCTGGGAGACACCGACCAGAGCACATGGCTGCAGCGAAGAGGGTGTTGCGCTACCTGTGCAGTACGTCGGGCATGGGGCTAGTGCTTGGAGGGCGGAGTCCAGTGGTCCTTACAGGGCACGCGGACGCTTCTTGGGCTGACGACCAGGCTACGCAGCGGTCGTCACAGGGTTACACCTTCAGTCTTGGTTCCGGCTCTGTCTCGTGGCGGGCTAGTCGCTCGTCTTCGGTTCTCAGCTCCAGTTGTGAGGCTGAGATCTACGCTGGGGCCATGGCTGCACAGGAGCTTCGCTGGCTCACCTACCTGCTGACTGACCTTGGAGAGCCGCCTCGTTCTCCTCCAGTGCTGTACGTAGACAACAAGGCCATGCTGGCCTTGTGTCGAGAGCAGCGTCTGGAGCACAGAACGAAGCACATTGCTCTTCGCTACTTCCTTGCTCGTGAGCTGCAGCAGCGTGGACAGTTGCGGCTTGCGTACGTGGCCTCTGAGGCCAACACTGCTGATGTGTTCACCAAGGCACTCGCGCCTTGTGACCATCAGCGCCTCTGCACCCAGCTGGGTCTTGTGCCTGTCTTGCCTCACTTGCTCTCCTCTTGACTTTACTTGTACTGTGACATATATATACCTGCTCTTGCTTGTCTAGTTTTATATATATATGTCTGTACTCCTGCATGTGAACTGGCCTCTCGCTCGGCTCTTGTGCTCGGACTGTGTGGTGACGTTGTGATCCACCCTGAGCTTGCTCTGCTTTGCTTTACTTGACTGGTTTTGTGACCCCTTGTTCTCCCCCACTTTGCCTATGGGGGTGTGTCAGATTTATATGACATAGTTGCTGTAGGCTATAGTGGGGTAGCACATATGGGGTACAGGGTTTCTAGGGTTGTATTTGTACCCAATCTTTCCTTAGTCATTTTCATTCCTGTTTACTTGTTTCACAGCGACGGGGCCGCTAGGGGCGGCAACGGGGCCGCGAAGGTGCCGCGACGGGCCTAGAGGGGCGGCGACGGGGCCTAGAGCGGCGACGACGGGGCCGTGAGAGGGGTCATGAGGGGCCGCGAAAGGGGCCGCGAGGGGCCTGAGGAGGGCGCGACGGGCCGCTAAGGGCTAGGGACGCGACGGGAGGGAGGGCACACGGGGCGTGACTCGGGCAGGAGGGAAGTGCGCTCCGGGCAGGAAAAAAAAATCGATTTTCAGTGGTGGGCCCTAAGAAACGTTCCCACTATGGAACCTGCTCTATACCATGTGAAGAAATGAGGAATGATTGCATTAAGCAGCATGAGGAGTACAAGTAGGAAACCCTAAAGTGTTGTACCCCATATGAGCTACCCCACTACAGCCTACACAGACTATAGCATATACGTTTGACAAATGCCACTCACCCATCTTTCTTCGCACACGCTCCACCTGTTCGTAGACCCAGTGCATGTGACCGTCACCCAACCCGTTTGTCTTTTCGCGACGTCGCTTTTCTTTCTCGTTTCGCTTTTATCAAGAAGATATTTTTGTTCCTATCCTCGCACAAGTCCGTCGCAAACTCGTACACCCTCGCACTCTCGCTCGCACATCCTCGCATGACTCTCGCACATTCTCGCACGCACACACAAACTTGTTCTCAAGCACCATGTATTCTTCTCTCCTGCTCCACTGACATGTCCAACGCACCATCCCCTTTTCCGTTGTCGGAATTTTCTGTATTGGGAAAATATCACACTATGGCCGAACAGTGCTAGAAGGGTGATAAAAAAAGGGTCGAGAGGCCAGGACCTTACCAGACCGCTGCGCAAAGAGACTTCAACAGAAGGTGTTTGTTTATTTCACGTGATTATGTTACTTGCGTGTCGTTTAGCGAGCCAAGTCTACGGGGAACTCTTAGGGCAGCCAAAAAAACTAAAACTCATAGGAAATCTGGATGCGTTTTCGGGAATAGATGAACCCTAAAAACTGGAACCTTCCTGGTATTTAAGGTTGATGCCTCCCGAGTCGCACTAGTTTCCGAATGGGTAATATTTTTTTTCTGTGCGTTTCCGATCGGGTAGGTGATATGTATCATCCAGAATATAATTTGTCGATACGTATTAACGATTTTACAGGCCGAATTTGGCTTCAAGAAGAAGGCGACGCGCGCGCTGTAGTAGACGGCGGTGAAAACCATGAATAAAGAAAATGAGCGCGAATACGGTTTGTTCTGCAGTTCGCCTTTGCTTCGGCTTGTTCGCCTAGTCGTTTGGGCAGCTTCGGTTTGGAAACCTACGGCCAGGATTTACTGGACCTACTTTGATCACCTCTCTGACCCTGTTTGGCCCCAATATGATCTTTTCCCTTCTATCTTCAGAGGTCAGTTGTCAGGTGTCAAACCGACGGCAGTCACTTTGTTTTGTGCTCCAAACGTCTTCTTTTCCTGCTGGTGTCGTCCTTCGACTTGCCAAGGGTTTCTCCCCTCTGCGTGGCTTACTGTCGAATTCACGTATATATCATCCGTGCGTCTGTGTTTCGTACGTTCGGAAGTGCTTTGTCGAAGTCACCCATCTGACCCTCGTGCGCGAGCTACGCTGACGCTTTAGGTTTTAGCAAACCGTGATTTCCGTCCGCTCCCGTCCGCATCCCAGCTCCACTTGGATTCAGGAAACATAATTCAAAGTTTGAGGTCAAGAATTCCGAGATTTACGATTCATGATGGGCTTACCACGCGGGCTTCTCGCCGTGGCGATTTTCGCGAGCTTGCTGGTAACAGCCGTTGCACGGATCAGCCGCTACGACAGCATGCTGGCCATGCCAGGAGGAGAGGGGCGACAGGCGTTCCGGCAGTTTCTGAAACGAGGTGCGACGACGCGCAAGACGAGCGAGACTAAAGACAGCGAGCCGCAGGAGGAGGGAACTCGCTGGGCGCTTCTTATTGCCGGCTCCGCCGGTTACGGAAATTACCGCCACCAGGTGGGTCCATCTGGTCGGCCAGCCTTCTAAGTCCTTCAGAAGTAATTAGAAGCCACTAAAGTCCTCTAGAAATTCAGAAGTTATTGCGCTGCTGCTGGAGCTCCTTCAAATTCATAAGCAAAGCCAGAAGCTCCGGGAGCAACCACTTTCGGAGCTTAAGGGCTCGTGTCTGATCTTATTGGCTAAGTTTCGCACCGCTCTCGCGAGTATGCAATCTGCAGACGGACGTGTGTCACGCGTACCAGCTGCGTTTTCGTATTGATTGATCTATGGTTCCATTGTTCCTACCACTTTCGTAATTCTACCATCTGCGATCTGCAGGCGGACGTGTGTCACGCGTACCAGCTGCTGCGGCGGAACGGCGTGAGGGAGGAGCACATAGTGGTATTCATGGTAGACGATATCGCTCACAACCATGAAAACCCGCACCCCGGCACCATCATCAACCGCCCCGACGGACCCGACGTCTACCACGGCGTTCCCAAGGTGCGTGGCGCGTCTTGGGTTGTTTTGTTACCCCAAGATCCTCCCTGCTCGGTACTCCCAAGGTGCGCCCTACACGGCAGTCCCAAGGTGCGTGAGGGGGGAGGAGCACATAGTGGTATTCATAGTGGACGATATCGCGCACAACCATGAGAACCCGCACCCGGCACCATCATCAACCGCCCTGACGGACCCGACGTCTACCACGGCGTTCCCAAGGTGCGTCCAGCACGATAACCCGCGCATGCTGCACGGCGTCCCTAGGTGTGTGAGGGAGGAGCGCCAAGTCGTGTTTATGGTGGGCGATATCGCTCACAGCCGTGTAAACCCGCACTCCGGCACCATTACCAACCGTCCCGACGGTCCGGACATCTACCACGTTCATTTCTACTGTTCCACTGCTGGGGATTGACTCTTGAGGCGCCTCAAAAGTCACCCCGACGGCCCGCCGTCTAGCACGTTCAACTCTACTGTAGCACTTCTGGAAAACGTTCGTGCCATTAGCCCTCTCTTGATGTGTCGTCACCCCACTCCCTCCCCTGTCAGGACTACGTGGGGCGGCACGTGACAGTGAACAACTTCATAGCAGCGCTGCTGGGGAACGCAACGCCTCTGCCATCAACCCCCTCCTCTTTTCCGCCCACCCCTCCCCCACTTCCCCGCCCTCCCTCCTTCTCTCCCGCATCTCAGGACTACACGGGGCGGCACGTGACAGTGAACAACTTCATAGCAGCGCTGCTGGGGAACGCGTCTGCCATCAACGGCGGGAGCGGCAAGGTCATTGCAAGCGGCCCCAACGACCATGTGTTTGTGTACTACACCGACCATGGCGGCCCAGGCATTCTGGGTGCGTGGGGTTGTGAGCGGATGCATGCGTGCGTGTGTGCTTGGGTGGGTGGCTGGGTGGGTGAGTGCTTGGTCCGTTATTAGGAGCGGCAAGGTTGTTGCGAGCGGCCCCAACGACCATGTGTTTGTGTACTACACCGACCATGGCGGCCCAGGCATTCTGGGTGCGTGGGGTGTTGGGTGGGTTGGTGCGCGGGTGAGAGGGTGGGAGAGACGATGCGCAACTCAGTATTGTTTCTTCCCCATCCCATGTTGTTTTACTCCATTTCTTCCTGCTGTGTTGCCTGCTTTCCGCCCTGCTGCGTGCCGCTTCTGCTGCCTATCAGCCCTGCGTCCTGCCACCTGTGTGTTGTCTGTCCCCTGCAGGCATGCCCGAGCCCCCGTTCCTCACGGCTGATGACGTGCGGTGCGATTTAGACAGGTCTCAGAAGCAATTGTGTGCATCATCTGCTCCTGCCCCTCCTACTGCCTGCCTTCTCCATGTGTCACCTGCTTGGCGCCCCCCCCGGTCTGTCCCCTGCAGGCATGCCCGAGCCACCGTTCCTCATGGCTGAGCTGACCAAGTGGTGGTCGTATACGACAGCTCTGAGACGCAATTTGTGTGCATCATCTGCCCCTGCCCCTCGTGCTGCCCGCCTTCCCCATATGACACCTGCCTGCCCTCTCCCCCACTCCCCCCCCCCCCCCCTTCTGTCCGCTGCAGGCATGCCCGAGCCACCGTTCCTCATGGCTGACCAAGTGGTGGTCGTATACGACAGCTCTGAGACGCAATTTGTGTGCATCATCTGCCCCTGCCCCTCGTGCTGCCCGCCTTCCCCATGTGACACCTGCCTGCCCTCTCCCCCACTCCCCCCCCCCCCCCCCCCTTCTGTCCGCTGCAGGCATGCCCGAGCCACCGTTCCTCATGGCTGACGAGGTGGTGGGCGCGCTGCAGAAAAAGCACGCCGACAAGGGCTTTAAGGAGCTGGTGAGCGGTGCTTGGGGGAGTGCTGAGACGGGGTGGTAGAGGGGGCTGGGTGCATGGGTGGCTGACGATGTGGTTGAAGGGAGTGGGTGATGGTTATGGAGTGGTGGACGCACTGCAGAGGAAGCACGTGGCCAAGGGCTTTAAAGAGCTGGTGAGAATAGTGGGGGGAGGAAAGGGGGGCGGTGGGGGAAGCTGGGGAGGGGCGAAGGAGTGGGGAGGGGTGGGAGTAGGGGATGGGAGGGAAGCAGGATAAGTGACGAGCTGCAGTGGTTGGGTCCTGCTATCCCTTCGCCTTCATCTGCTTGCACCAGGTGTTCTATCTAGTATCGCGTGAATAGGGTATGGTAGCAGCATATTTCAGGGGCTGCTGCCGCCCAACATCCACATCTTCGCCACCACAGCAGGCAACGCGGAGGCACCTCAAATTGGCACACCTTGAACCACCCTAAATTATTTTTCTGTGCCTTTCACCACGTGTTCTACCTCGAAGCGTGTTCTACCACGTGTTCTACCTCGAAGCGTGTGAGTCAGGGAGCATATTCGAGGGCCTGCTGCCACCCAATATCTACATCTTCGCCACCATGGCAGTCAATACTGCCACCTGTGCCAACATATGTGCCTTGGATTCCCCGTCCTCCCTATCCCACAGGTGTTCTACCTTGAAGCATGCGAGTCAGGCAGCATTTTTTAGGGCCTGCTGCCGCCCAACATCCACATCTTTGCCACCATGGCTGCCACCACCATAGCCTCCCCTGCCTGGAAACGCATCATGTGTCGTTCCATCTCCCCCCCCCCTCCCTGTTCTTGCAGGTGTTCTACCTCGAAGCATGCGAGTCGGGGAGCATATTCGAGGGACTGCTGCCGCCCAACATTCACATCTTTGCCACCACGGCAGCCAACGCGGAGGAGAGCAGTTGGGGCACGTACTGTCCGGGGATGAACCCCCCTCCGCCCATTGAGTACGAGACGTGTCTGGGGGACCTCTACAGCGTTGCCTGGATGGAGGACAGGTGCGTTCTTCCCTTCTCTTCCCTTCCCTCCAGGTCGCTCCCTTCGCTTTCCTTCCCTTCTTTTCCCGCTCCTCCTCCTCGCGTTCCCTCTGGTGCTGCTGTGAGCTGGGTGTGCGACACAAGGCGTGGCAGCTAATGCGGAGGAGAGCAGTTGGGGCGCGTACTGTCCGCGGATGAACCCCCCTCCGCCCATTGAGTACGAGACGTGTCTGGGGGACCTCTACAGCGTTGCCTGGATGGAAGACAGGTGTGCGCCTCTTTAGCCTTCCCTTTCCTTTAGTGCTGTGTGTCTCTGGATGAAAGCCAGGTATGCCCTTGACTTTTGAGTCGACTCAAAAGTCAAATTGTCTCTGGATGGAAACCAGGTGTGCCCTTGCTTCCGTTCCCTCCACCTTCCTTAGCTTCCCTCGAGTGCTGTGCGCTGAGCATGCAGTTGAAAGGGGCGGCTGGGGAGGGCGTACTGCATGGCAGCTGTGCAGCTGGGGAGGGCGTACTGCATGGCAGCTGTGCAGCTAGGGAGGGCGTACTGCATGGCAGCTGTGCAGCTGGGGAGGGCGTACTGCATGGCAGCTGTGCAGCTGGCACGCACTCCGCATGTGTCCATGGAGCCGCATCTTCAGCCGGCCCTTTCAGTCGCCCTGGCCTCAACAGCCTTTGATGCTGTTGTGTTTTTTTTTTAGACGTCTCAGAAGAGAATTCAAAAAAAAAACCCTATGGCCTCAACAGCCTTTGAGGCGCCGCAAAAGCCTTTGTGGTCGCGTCTTCCGCTTGTGTCCGTAACACCCTGGCACCTTCTTCCTCCTCCCCTCATCGCTTTCAAAGATCGGGACATGTTTCATAATTTTTTTTGGGCACCTTAAGAAATAGACCCCTCGTCGCTTTCAAAGATCCTTTTTTCCGGATCGGGACATGTTTCCTCATTTGTCTCGTGACTCCTTCCGGCTGTTCTCGAGCAGTAAAGCATCGCCTGTGAAAGACTAACACGCCTCTAATCAAGCCGTTGAAGACTCTTCTTCCGTCCCTTTCATTCCCACTGCCCCTCTCTTCCCTTCCTTCCTGCTCGTTCCAGTGACGTCAACGACCTCACACACGAGAGCCTTCGCCAGCAGTACCACCTGGTACGTTGGCATCTGGCATGGCCGCCCCATTGCCCTCCCTCTTTCCCCCTTGCTCCCCCTATTTCCCTGTTCCCCTGCTGTGTGCTCCTACCCGCCTTCTCCTCTCGCCTTCTTCCCCATGGGGTGTGTATTGACTGGTGTGGTGTGTGAATGCATGGCCTTCAGTGATGTGAATGACCTCACTCGGGAGACTCTTTTCGAGCAGTACCTCGTGGTGGGTTCTAGCTCTCTACACACGTAGATGCACACACACACGCGCACGCACTTGCACACACACGCCCGCATGTGCACGCGCACGCGCACACACACACACACACACTTACCACGCGCACAACCACACTTCCTTCTCCGTTCGGCACCCTAGTTGTGTCTCTGGCGTTTTGAGGACTTCACCGCGAACTGATCAGTGGACATTGCTGGCCTTTTCAACAATGGCTGGTCTTATGTCACGTGCCCATGACTGTTGACATTTTTACGTGTAGTAAGTCGAATTTTGAGTCGACTCAAAAATCGACTTTCTACATGTGCCCATGACTGTTGACATTTTTAACTACTCACTTGTGAGAGTTCTCCTCAGTGATTGTCTTTTGCCCTTACCCTGTCGGTGTGTCTATGCCTGGTGAAGGAGCGGATATCCAATCATGGGACGCACGACGACGGCTCGCACAGGAGAAGGCTCTCGGCACCAACGCAGTTTCCAATTTCCTGGGCGACTCACCCCTGGCTCCTGAAGCTGGTGGCAATACACCTGCCGTCCAATTCCCCTCTCCTTTCTCACCTTGTTCATTTGGTTCCACCCTGCTTCCATTCCCCTCCCCCCCCAGTGACCCTGCCAGGTCAAGGAGCGCACGTCCAACCCCGTTTGGTTGGAAACGATGGACATCATTTGGACATACGATGTCACCTCGCCCATGATGCTCTTTGGGGAGAAGGCTCTCGGCACCGACCCTGTTTCCGACTTCCTGGGCGACGCCTAACCCCGTTTACCCCATTGAATCTCCTTGCTGCGCCCTGCTTCCCTGCCAGGTTAAAGAGCGCACATCCAACCATGGCACATATGATGCAGGCTCGCATGTCATGCTGTTTGGGGAGAAGGCTCTTGGCACCGACCCTGTTTCCGATTTCCTGGGCGACGCGTCCCTGGCTCCTGAAGCTGGTGCCAATAGCGAGGATGCTTATAACGAGCATGCGGGCATGACCCCGTGGGTTCCATTCAGTCTGACTGCGCTGCTGGGCAGGGGCGTTAGCAGGGGTAAGGGGAGGGGCAGGGGTGCGGTGCTGTCGGCGGGGCAGAGGATGTTTGCTGCAGGGGAGGCGGTTGGGGTGGTGGGGCAGCGCGATGCAGAGGTGCTGCACCTGTGGCACAAGGTGGGGTTCCATTCCTCCCTCCTTCCCTCCTTCCCTCCTTCCCTCCTTCCCTCCTTCCCTCCTGTCATCCCTCACTCCGTCACTCACTCACTCACCCACTCACCCACTCACTATGTTATTCACATCTGGAGGCGGGTGGTGTGGTGGGGCAGCCGATGCGGAGGTGCTGCACATGTGGCACAAGGTGGGCACTCCCTCCCTCTTTCCTTCCCTCTTTCCCTCCCTCTTTCCCTCCCTCCCTGACCTCCCTGACCTCCCTGACCTCGCTGACCTCCCGACCTCCCGACCTCCCTGACCTCCCGACCTCCCGACTCACCTCTTGCCATCTTACCCTCGTCCTGTCCTCAGTATATGCGCAGCCAGTGTTGCCTGCTTGCGTAGCGAGTCTGGGCGTGCTTACACTGAAGGGGAGGGGAAGGGCATGGGGGATTCAAGATGGCGAGGAGTCATGACCCTAACCCTTTACCCACCGCAGCATGACTCGTCGCCCTCTTAAAACCTTCATGACATTCCCAAAAACTTTCGGTATAAAAGACGCCCCGGAGGACTCGCGTCGCAAGGAGACAGCACTGGCCGCCCTCAGCGAGTATGTTGCCCACCCTCCCTTTTACATAAGCCTGCCTCTTTTCCGCCTCATACCCCCCATGTCCCTCCCCACGCCCTCAAACCCCCCATGTCCCTCCCCACGCCCTCAAACCCCCCATGTCCCTCCCTACGCCCTCAAACCCCCCATGTCCCTCTCCCTACGCCCTCAAACCCCCCATGTCCCTCCCTACGCCCTCAAACCTCCCATGTCCCTCCCTACGCCCTCATACCCCCCATGTCCCCATTCCCCCTCGCTCGTCCTTCAGTATAAGAACGCCCCAGAGGATTCCCCGCGCAAGCAGGCAGCGATGGCAGCCCTCAGCGAGACCTTTGCCCACCGCCGCCACGTGGACCAATCGGTGCGCGCCACGGTGGCAGCAGCGGTGGGCGAGGGGCGTGTGGAGGTGATGCTGGAGGGGAAGCAGGCGGAGGGGAGGGCGCTGGTGGACGACTGGATGTGCCTGCGAGGGATGGTGAGTGGTGGTGGTGGGGTTTTAGACTCGTCAGTGGCGAGTTGGGGGGTGGGTATATAGGCTCTTCAAATACTCTCTCATCACAGTAGGGGCGTGTGCAAGCGGTGCTGGAGGGTACATCTTTGCCGGAGTCGCTTGTGACTGCGATAACAGGAGGGGCGTGTGGAGGCGGTGCTGGACGGCAGGCAGGCGGAGAGGAAGGCGCTGGTGGACGACTGGATGTGCCAGCGAGAGATGGTGAGTGGTGGGATCGGTGATGATGGCTTTTTGTTTTCGCGCAAGGGGCTTGATAGGCAATGCACACCCTCTTTGGCCTCCTACCACACACATCCCCTCTTACCCTCTACTCTGTGCTTCACTCTTACCCTCCCACTCCTGTCCAGGTGTGGGCCTACAAGGCGAGCTGTGGGCGCATAACGCCATGGCACACAGTAGTGGACCCCCAGAAGCCAGACCCAGATTCAATCTCGCACCTTCCTTCTTTCTATGCGCTTCACTCTTGTTTTTCCGCATTTATGCAGGTGCGAGCGTACGAGGCGAGCTGCGGAAGGATTACACAGTACGGCATGAAGCACATGCGCGCGTTTGCCAACCTCTGCAATGCAGCCGTGCCCGTCCGCACCGTTGCTGCTGCAGCGCAGGAGGTGTGCCCTGCCGCCGCCAATGCTGTTCCCCCGGGGCTGCTCGTTGCGTCGGGAGGGGGTTTCTCGGTGTAAATTTTGGGTGGATTTTGTGACCTGTGCTGCGTGCGGACAGTATTCGGTCGGCTACATATCGTAGAGAGTGGCTATGTGGGTCAGCCCTCCTGTGATGGGTTGCAGGGGGGTGATTTACTGTTTTAGTGCCATTGTAAATAGCAAGGTTGATTGCATGCTTGACTGTCGCATGCATTGCTTAGAGCTGGGAGGGTAGGCCAGATATGGTACATCTGAAATGCAGGGGAATGATGGCATCAAATACTGGACTGATGTGATGTGAGCGTGTTTGTTTAGTCTAGTTACTTGTCCGTTCTCCTTTTTGGAGGTGCAGCTATTATACACCACTCTCTGTGATTGCTCCGACTATCTGACACTTTTGGACGTTCGCCAAATTTCCCGCCAAAAGCAGCGTCTCGGAAAATCACAGCCGCATATCTCAAATTCCGCTCATTCGGGAACTAAGATCACCTCACCACCTGAGACTGCTGGTTACCGCAATTTACCGATCGGTGACATAGCTGATCAGAGGTGCTGGATTTTCGGCGTGACGGCGTGATTCACGGACAAGGAGGCGTGGGTTCGCCTTTCTCAGGGTCACACTGATGAGACTAGGGCTCGCAGCGTTTTTAGCTACTACAACTTATAAGTTATTGGCTCTATCGCCGAAGTCGACGATTGTGCGGCTAGAATCTAGTTCGCTCGTTTTAGCATCCGACAACAAGCAGCGGGAGTGACGTGCGAGGGTGTGTACAGGAGCAATGGCGTGGCCGATCTACCTCTACCTTCCGAACATCGTCGGTCAGTGGCTAGTGATGGTCAAGGTTTGCGGTTGTATGCGTACATGTGTACAAATTCATAGTAGAATTCGGAGTATGCTGGTTGACTTGAGGTTAAAACGCGAAACGCGAACTCGTATGGGACAATGGCAGAAGCCACTACGAGTTGGCTTTCTCGTTGTGCTGGCTTTGTCAGTACCAGTTACTACGTGGACCAGCATTAACGTTTCGAGAGTTCCTGGTATTGCCCAGTGCATAAGGCGCTGCGGCTTCTGAGAAGCGCCAACACGCAAGACTCGTTTTCTACGCTATCTACCTACACACACGCCATTATAGGCGTTATCATAGGCCTCGCGGCTGACACCGTCTCTTTTGCGAATGCTTGTCATGTTACAGGGTACTTTCGCATCCTGGCGAACGTATGGGCCTTCGCCATCGCTCTGTCCGATCCCCGCCTCTTCGTCGCCCTTTACTTCTTCAGGTGAACTTTCTTTAAGAATGAGTCGCTCAAATAAACCTCCTCTCGCATGACTTTTCTCTTGGTGACTTTTGAGTCGACTCAGAAGTCACCTTATGAACCCCCTCTCGCATAAACTTTCTCTTGGGTGAAACTTTTTCTAGAAATATCTTTCCTTTTCGAGTGAACTTGCCCTCAGCCCTAGCCCAGCTCTCAGGTAGCTTTCCTCTCAGGCTTGCATGTCGTGCCTTGGATGCACGCCATGTGTCACACCCGACCACTCGACCACTCATCTGTTGGATCGTCTCGAAACTCACTAATTTTACTCGATGGCCTGCATCTCATGCTCTGGATACATGGCATTTGTCACACTATTCCAGGCACTGATTCGTGTTATGATCTGCTTTTGAGACGTCTCAAAAGTCGTATACATGGCATTTGTCACTCTCTTCCAGGCACTAATTCGTGTGATGATCTGTTTCCCATTCGTCCTCGCTTTTCCCCTTCCTCCGTCCTCCCAATCTGCCATTCCCCTGTTTCCGTCTCCGAAAAGCTTCTTCTGTGATTACGTGGACGGACGTTTTGCCACGTGGTTCAATCAGAGTGAGTCAACGCATTCCTCATGTAACCCCTGCATCCGCCTATCCCATGCTTCCATCGTCTCGTATGCATCAATACCCTCCCAATGCCACCTGTCCCTCCTCCAACAGCCAATCACCCCCGCCTTGTGCCGACTCTCGTCCTCATGTATCCGTGTTCCAATCCTTTAGCAATCCCGTCCTGCTCGCCTCCAGTTCGCAATTCTTGTCACCTTTCATCGCACCATCACGGTGTTGAGGTGACTTAGGAGTCGACTCAAAAGTCAATTCTTGTCACCTTGCATCGCACCATCACGGTGTTGAACCATCAAGCTCTCACGCTGTCATAACACTGCACCATCTCATCATGCCATCACCCAATATTGCCATCATTCCACCATACCTCCCTGCCCTCGCCCCACTCACCCCAGAGTCCACATTCGGTGCTGTCTTGGACATGGTCACAGACAGGTGGGTTCCTGCTGCCACACTCGCAACATAACTCTGTAGGACAGGTACGTGAGGCGAGGACAGGTACGTGAGGCGAGGACAGGTACGTGAGGCGAGGACAGGTACGTGAGGCGAGGACAGGTACGTGAGGCGAGGACAGGTACGTGAGGCGAGGACAGGTCCTCACGTACCTCAGAGACCACATTCGGTGCGGTCTTGGACATGGTTACAGACAGGTGGGTTCCTGATGCCACACTCACACCGTACTTATAGGATAAGCAATCCGGTTGTATCGATGCTGCTTGTACCGTACCGTACCGTGCTCCATCCTCCCTGTTTTTCGTCGTTCAAAGTGTTCCTTTCCTTTGCCTCACTCTGTGCCTCTTTCCTTACCTTCTCCTCCTCTCGCCCCTCCTCCCGTTCGCTGTGTGTCAGAATGAGCACCACCTGTTTGCTCCTCGTGCTCTCCCACCTCTACCTGTGAGTCACCACAAGCACACTGCTATGCACCACTGGATCATGGGCATTAGTGCATCGCCTGTGATGCATCACCTGCATCAGGATTCACATGCATCGAATATGTCACATGCATCGCATTAACTTGCATAACGTCACATGCATCACATACACATGCACCACATACACATGCATCACATACACATGCATCACATACACATGCATCACATACACATGCACCACATACACATGCACCACCTGTTTGCTCCTGGTGCTCTCGCACCTCTATTCGAGTCACCGCAACCACCATGCCCGTAACATCCATCCACACCCACCGCTCTTGTCACACACGCAACTGCCATCTCATCTCATGTGCTTGCATGGTATCACTGGTCCTTGACTCGAGCAACTTTTGAGGTGCTCCAAAAGTTTTCGTGGTGTCACTGGTCCTTGGCTGGAGAAGCTGCAGCCCAGCTCCTCCCTCCCTCCCTCCCTCCCTCCCTCCCTCCCTCCCTCCCTCCCTCCCTCCCTCCCTCCCTCCCTCCCTCCCTCCCTCCGCTCTGCTTCACTGTTGCTGTGTTTTGTCGTTCGTTCCCTGTCCTCTCCACCACTCCCTCCTCCTCCCACCCACTCTCTGCGATACGTTTCCTGTTGATTCACCTCACCACCTACTCTCTCTCCTTTCGTTCCTTTTCCATCGCTCTTTCACTCTTTCACTCCCTATTTCTCTCGCATACGCTCGCCCCTGTGTGTTCTCCTCCCCCCTCTTCATCCCATTTTCAGCCCCTCCCCACCCCGTCCTCAACCCCTACTCAACCCCTCTCACTCCCTCCTCAACCCCCTACTCACTCCCTCCTCAACCCCCTACTCACTCCCTCCTCAACCCCCTACTCACTCCCTCCTCAACCCCCTACTCACCCCCTCACAGGTCACTCATGTGTGCGTGCATGGCGCTGCTGGTGCTGGACCTGACGAGCCATTGGTACCAGATGTACAGGTGGGCACTCACGCATGGGGTTTATGAGGGATTGATTTCACTCATAGGGACTCACGCGCACTTATGAGGGGGTTGAGGGAGACGAGGGGGTTGAGGGAGACGAGGGGGTTGAGGGAGATGAGGGGGTTGAGGGAGACGAGGGGGTTGAGGGAGATGAGGGGGTTGAGGGAGACGAGGGGGTTGAGGGAGATGAGGGGGTTGAGGGAGATGAGGGTGCTGAGGGAGACGAGGGGGTTGAGGGAGACGAGGGTTTTGGTGCGCAATTTCTGGTGCGCAAGGCCAGTCACAGGCACGTGGCAACTGGCCTCGGGACATGCAATTCTCTTCCCTCCTGATCGTCGCCCCCCCCCCCACTCCTCCTTGCGTTTCCTCTTCCGTTTTCCGTCCTCCCCATCAGCTCCTTCTTAGTGCGCAAGGCGAGTCACAAGGACGTGGCAGCAACGGACTTCTGGCTCATGCGCTGGTACTACGGCAGCCGCCCCTTCATGGCCTACTGCTGCATTGGCGCTGAGGTGAGCGGGGAGTGCTGTGCGGGCTGCATAGTAATGGCATGTGGTGCTTTGGTAGTCACTCCATTGCCTCATTCGCTGGTACTACGGCAGCCACCCCTTCATGGCCTACTGCTGCATTGGCGCTGAGGTGAGGCGTGAGCAGCGACCGTGGTGCTGAGTCCTGCTGCTGCTTGTGTGTTGGGTGGGGGTGAAAACCAACTACCCCTCTGTGGTACTACGGCAGCCACCCCTTCATGGCCTAGTGCTGCATTGGCGCTGAGGTGAGGCGTGAGCTGGTAATGGCAGTTGCTTAAGGTTATGTGGAAGTGGCATGGGCTATTCCTGTCCCTTCTGGCATGTGGTGCTGTGACAGTCTCTCGTGTGTGGTCTCTTTGACTTTTGTCCTCTGTCTGTAAGCCCCTCTCTGTAGAATCCGCCTGCATCCCTTCCCATGCCTCTCTGGTCTGTGTCCTGTGTCTTCGTTTGCAAGGTGACTTTTGAGTCGACTCAAAAGTCACCCCGCCTGCATCCCTTCCCATGCCTCTCTGGTCTGTGTCCTGTGTCTTCGTTTGCAGCTGCTGCTGTGCATCATCTTCACAACTTTTGCCTGCACCCATTTCCATGCCTCTCTGCCCGGTGTATTCTGTGTCCGTGTGTGTGTGTGCAGCTGCTGTACCTCGTACTCTATCTCGACTCAGACCCACTAAACCAACAAGTGCAGGTACGTACGTTGCATGGCATTTGGGCATGTCATTCTCGCATGCCATTCCCTCATGCTGCTCCCCCAGTACCACCTCTCAGCACCCTTTTGCTTTTGAGACGTCTCAAAACCAATCTTCATACATGTCAGTACCACCTCTCAGCACCCTTTTGGCCTGTCTTGTCCCCTCCTTCGTAGCCCCTTCCTTATCCCCTCCTACTCCGCAGCTCGTTGTGCTGTGCCTTCTTTCCACAGAGTCTGTTTTTTTTTTCTCTCATTCTGAAAAAACAGTCCCCTCCTTCGCAACCCCTTCCCTACCCCCTCCTACTCCTCAGCTCCTTGTGCTGCATTTTGAACAAGTGTTTTGAGACGTCTCAGAACACCTTCTTTCCACGTAGGCCCTCAGTACCACCTCCCAGCACCCCTTTGGAGGAACTTCTTTTTCCCTAACCTCTTCCCACTAATACCTTCCCTCCACCCTCCTGCTCCACAGGTCTCCCTGCCTTATCTCGGCCCCACGGGGGTCATTCGAGCCCTCGGGCTGCTGTGTCTTCCGGGATGGGCGCTCAAGCAGATCACCAACGTGGTGCAGGTGAGAGAGGGGGGTGGGGGTGGGGAGGGGGAGCGGGAGGGGGAGGTGGGGGGTGCGTTGGGTGGAAGGTTGTGTACAGGGTTGGCGGAGGTGCATGTGGGTGATAAACGGGGGGTTCATCCGAGCCTGTACCGTGCTGTGCTGTGCGTCAAGCAGCCCACCAACGTGGTGCAGGTGAGCAGCCCACCAACGTGGTGCAGTGCAGGTGAGCGGAGCCTTGCTAACGGGGAAGGGGGGTGGTTGACATGGCAATTAGACGGTGTGGAGGGCGCACCGGGGTGCATGTGCGATGGTGCATGCCAGCTGAGCCATAGCCTGGGAGGGGCTGTGATGGCAAGTAGGTGGTGCGGAGAGCGCACTGCGATGCATGTGCGACGGTGCATGCCAGCTGAGCCATATAGCCAGAGTGGTCTGGGGTGCATTGTCAACGGTGGTTGTCATGTCATCCGAGCCCTTGACCTGCTGTGCTGTGCCTCCCTGCATGGGCGCTCAAGCAGACCATCAATGTGGTGCAGATGAGAGGGCAGGGAGGGGGGTGGGATGGGTGAGAGAGTGAAGGGGGGGTGGTGAGTGGAGGGGTTGCATGAAGGGCAGGCGAACGGGCAGTGCAGAAAGGTGGTGTTAAGGTGTGGAAAGCACAAAGCTATTGCCTGCTGTCTGTATGCATTGTGTGTTGTGTGGAATTGTCCTATGCTAAGTAATTGCTTTTTGTTTCATGCCATTTTCTTGTTTCCCACCAGCTTAAAACGGCGGCTGATGCATGTGTGGAGTATGACCTGGAAAAGACGCGGAAAAGCTCCTAAGAAGCGATGAAAAACTACTCCAGGCTGATGTTATACACAGCTGTATCTCCGTTCCCCTCGCCAATTGCATGTACCAGCTCGTGTAGAGCAATTGGGTGTCCTGTGGAGTTTTTAGCGGTTGCAAAAAAGAGATGACACGAAGAGCAGAACCCACATACACATTTCTCATGGCGAAAGTTAGTATTCCCGGTCGGTACCGTATGCCTTCTGTGTTACCACAGCTGAAATGAGTGCTCACAGGACGGTATGAATAAGACAGCTAAGTTAGTGGCTGGGGCTATGACAGGTACTATGAGCTCGTCCTTGACATGGAGAGCTCATCAGGCTGCTCGGAAAATACCACCTATAATCAGCAATTCTCATAAAAGTTGTTTCGAATAACATGGCAATACTCAAATACCATCGTCCACCACAATACGTAGCTTACCGCACAGCGTGTACTCAGTGTATCCAATACTTTTGCTTGCGAGACAAGCAAATTCGGTTCCCGCGATCTTTAGTAGAAATAGCTGTTAGTCACATGCAATGTAGTCACAAGGCTTCGCCAGTTAGCACGCAGTGTTTCGATCCCCCATCGCTATACGCATCGCGCCCCGTATACGCGGTTCGAAATCTCATTTCACCTCGAATGTTGTGATTTGGCGGCGAACGAAATTCGACCCCTTTTGACGCACACTTTGCCCCCTCTCCCTTTTCATCGCATCCCATCCCACAAAATCTCAGCCAATCTCATTTCATCCTATTTCATCCCGTCCATGTTTCAGACTTGACATTCCCCGTTGCAAGTCGAGAGAATGAAGGTATGTTACTGGGCGGAAGACACGATCCTTGGCGTGACATGACCACCGCCCATCCCTCTGCTACCCATCGAGCTGCAAGTATCAGCACTGCGTCATGCGGGAGGAACACTCGCAGCGCCCCTTGGCTGGTCATCCGACTTTGCTCCTGCAAACGCCCAGCCCTGGGTTTGACGTAGCGCCCCGAACCGACCCGACTCTTCATGGCCCTCCTTCCTTCCCTCTCCCAACAACCGCAACTTGGTTCAAGACGATCGGCCAGCCCAGCCCTTGGCTTTTGTAGTTGGTGTGACTCTAGTGCGTCGTGCATCACGTCGCGGGAGCCAGTTCCGTATGGTTGCACCCGTGTGCGCCCGCTAATCTGAATTGGTGCACCTGTGGTGGTGGTGGTTGGATCGCACAGGAAAAGCAGTTTCGTCTATGCAGCCGAGGTGTTCTCAGGCCTTCCGTCCCACCGTCAGAATTTGGGAGCCTAGTTCCTTAGAAATCACTTTCACCTCTCCTTCCTACCGTATCAGCCGACCTTGGCCATTGATAAGTGCGTGATCCGTTTTAATAAGCTCCGTTCTCATTCCATAATTTCCTCCCTTCCCTTTCTCCCTCGTGCTTTGTTAACTTGTCTTCGCGGTACAATCACCTTAACCATCGTTCCTTCGCGTGTGTCGAGACGCGCATTTAGGCCAAACGATCTCATTTGCCGTCCGATTCCCTCCAGAATTTCCTCAGTCCATACGAGGTGATACGATCGACCTGTGCTACCGCGCCTGCCACACTCACCTTCGACTAACAGCGACTCAAACGGAGTGGATTTCTCCACCGTTAACGGAAACTGCTCACTCCAACGAGCAGCGAGACTTGTCCCTCTAACCACTCGCGCTCGATTTGCTACAAGCAGCGAGGCTACTCACAAGTCTCCTCCCTGAGGGCAATTTGCAACTTTGCAGCTCAGTGATTCGACTCACGCCGAGGAATTCAACCCAGTTGGTTTGGAGGAAAAAGAAAACAATTCAACTAGTCTCAGATGGGAGGGCACGGCGGCAGTCGACAACATGGCGGGCGCGAGGAGAGGATCGCTCGTGTTTTCGTCTTTGCGGCAATGTTCTCTTTCATAGGTGAGCTTATGAGCCGAATCAGCGCCTCTCTCGTTGTCTTCTCGGTTGAATTATCAGGTGCGCCTTGTGAGGCGTTTTAAAAGAGTACTGTATGCGACTGACTGTAGAAAGTGGCACAGGCAGAAATCAAGGTACTATTGAAAAAACTTTTGTCGAAATGCACAAGCCGGGTTGCGATGCCTGTGTTTCACGGGGTCACTGCTGCTGCACGCAATGCGATGTTTCACCGCACGAACGGCACGAACACCGCGAACGCCGCGAACGTCGCGCACGGCACAAGACGCGCGGTGCATCTGAGTATATAATGCGTTGCATACGCGAGTGATGCTGCATGTAAAATGGCCTAGGTGGCCTTTTTGCCCCCATCAATCTGCCAGGACGCGCTTAAACCACTGCAAATTCGTCCATCATGTACCCGCATCCTAGCATACTAGACCCTGATGTTTGAAACTTCACATTTCCCAACCATTGCAGGCATCGCAGCAGCGGCGCCAGGCGCGGGCAAGGGGCTGTATCTTGTGCACATGACGTCCGCGCCTCCGGTCGTCGCATACAAAGGAGGAATCGCGGGACTCACGGCGACGGCGGTGGCGGAGGAAGACGAGCCTTCCCCCGGCCGGACGTACCGGGGGAGCGCGGGGGTCATGGGGGGGGATGCGCGGAAGGGGCGGGGTCCGCGGCAGTTGCGCCCGCGCGCGGATGACCCGCATGTGCGCGCGTACGCGCAGCACCTGACGTCGCTGCACGAAAGGACTCTCACTTCTGTCGGTGTTGCGTCGACCAGTATGGTGTATAGGTATGACGTGGCACACACACATGATGACGTGGTAAGTGTACGCCACACACCCTAAACCCGAAACCATCTCTTCCACGCATCTTCTTACCTCTCCTGTTCCATCTTTCCGCGCTTCGTTGCCCAAGCTGTCTCCTTTTCCCCGTCCTTTTTCTCCCCCACCACTTCCCCCCCCCCCCTTCCCCCCAGCTACAATTTCGCCGCCAACTCCTTCTGCGCGCAACTCACCCCCACGGAAGCGCAGCAGCTGCGGGCGCGCCCGGACGTTGGGCGCGTGGCGCGCGGGCGCAAGGTGCGCGCGCTCACGACGTACTCCCCGCGCTTCCTCAAGCTGGGCGCGCCGAAGGGCGCGTGGGAGGCGAACGGGGGGAAGATGAGCGCGGGGGAGGGCGTGGTGGTGGGGATTCTCGACACAGGCATTTGGCCCGAACACCCTTCCTTCGCAAATCAGGTACGAGGGCGTGTTTACACACAGTTGGTTGCAATCAAGGCACGAATACAGTAAATACGGCTGTGCGGTGCGGTGCGATGCAATGTGCGAAACAATTTCAGCCCCCACCGCAGATATCATCAAGAACCCCTCCCTCACTACTACTCCCCTTCACAGGGCTACGGCCCGCCGCCCAAGCACTGGAAGGGGGCGTGGTGACCGGGGCTGAAGCAGTGCAACAGCAAGGTGGCGGGCGCGCGCTACTTCCTCTCCACGTACGAGCGCAGGTGAAGGGGAACCTTCCCTGAACCACTTAATCCACCCTCACCCACCCGCGTGCGCCCTGGCCCTCCTCCCCTCCCCCTTCACAGGGCTATGGTCCCCCACCCAAGCACTGGAAGGGCGCGTGTACGGGGCTGAAGAGGTGTAACGGCAAGGTGGTGGGCGCGCGCTACTTCCTCTCCGCGTACGAGCGCGAGTACGGCAAGATCGCGCCAGGGGAGTATCGCTCTGCGCGCGATGCTGGCGGCCACGGCACGTGGTGTGCAGGGTGAGTCATGGGGGAAAGGCGGGTGGGGTTTGGGTTACGTGGTGGTCAATGGGAAGGTTCTGAAGAGCCTTAATGAGATTGTGATGTGTTCCCTACACCCGAAACTCCTTCCTCCTCTCGTCCTTTGCCCCCTTTCCCTCAACCCCTCTCTCCTTTCCGCTTCCCCTTCAAGCAGAGCGGCGGTGGGCAACAGCGGGGTGGTGCTGACAGAGCGGGACGGCACGCCCATCGGGACGGCCAGTGGCATGGCGCCACGTGGCAGGCTGGCGGTGTACAAGGCGCTGTGGTACAACGCGTCAGAGGGGTACGGCCACGACTGCGACATCTTTGCAGCCGTTGATCAGGCCGTCGCGGACGGTGTGGATGTGCTCTCCATGAGCATCGGATCGGGCGAGGATACCTACTTTGGCGACCTGCCCCTCCTGCGCGCAGCAGAGGTAAGACTGCGACTTACTTTGAAAACCTGACCTGACACTCTCCTAAAATAACTCCTATCTCCTAGGGTTCTTTTGTTCCCGTTTTTTCTTCTATTTCTTCTTCATCGTTTCGAAGTGAACCCCTATCCGTTTCTCCACCGCAGGCTGGCGTGTTCGTAACCCTAGCGGCAGGTAACGCAGGGCCGCCGGGTCAAGGCGGCGGCTCATATCGCACCATCAGCAACACGTCCCCCTTCTATCTCACCGTCGCCGCCAGCACCACGGACCACGACGCCGCCTTGCTCTACCGCGCGCGCTCAGCCGACTCTTCCTCTACAACCGCTGCTACGGCCGCCGCTTACGGTGATAACTCGTCGTATGTAGCAGAGGGTGCATCAGCAGCATCTAAACGCGGATTCGTTTCCCATGCCTCGCGGCCCCGGACCCTTCAAGCCGTCTACGAGGCGCCGGTGATCGCGCCGTTCTCGTCGGCGGGACCACCACTGAACCCCTCGCGGCCTCCTCCCGCCACTCTGCAAGTAACTAACGACATTCTTAAACCGGATGTTACTGGGCCGGGAATGGATCTAGTAGCTGCTGCTGCTGGCGGGACAACTAAAGACGCGTGGTACACCATGAAAAGCGGGACGTCGATGTCTACGCCACAGTTAGCGGGAATCGCCGCGCTGCTCATTCAAAAATACCCCAACTGGCGGCCCGCCGCGATCAAATCGGCAATAATGACGACCGCATATAAACTGAACAATCGCGGAGGGGCCATGCGAACGTTCATAGGGTCGACTGCGACGCCTTGGAATTTCGGGTCGGGGCATGTGAATACGTCTGCGATGCTCGATCCGGGATTGGTTTACGATGTTGGACGAAAGGGTTACTTCAACTTCCTCGCCGGTGTGAATATGGCCGCTGCGAACAAGGCGTTTCCGGCGAAGAGGCTGTCGCCGATCAAGCCGTGGAGTCTGAACCAGCCGAACATATGCGTTTCGCGACTGACGAACGTGGTTACCTTGACGCGCAGTGTCACGAGTGTTACGGCGAAGGCGCAAACCTACCAAGCGCAGGTTCGCATGCCTGCGAACGTTGACGTCCAAGTTACACCGAAGCAGTTCAGGATATTGCCGAAGCAAACGGTTACATTCCAGGTGAAGCTCACTCCTAAGAAAAACACTAACCAGTTTTCATTTGGAGAACTGGTGTGGACAGATGGTAGGCATAGAGTGAAGTCAGTCTTAGCAGTACAGCCCATGGCTGCTTTGTAAGAGTAGCATTGCACAGCTTCCTTACTTGCAACTCCTCGTTGCAAGTGTTCGATCTTTGTGAATAAAGAGTGTAGTATACTGTTACACTTGCATACATTATGGATGAAATGTAAATTCCACCCAACATCACTGTAGTGGTTGCAAGAGCCTACAACAGGAAGTGAGAACATACCACCTGCTGTACACTCTTGCAGCCACTCACATCACAGCCATACCCATCCTACACAGATGCTAAAGACTGATCTTATCCCACACTGATACAGGAATACAGCTCCCAGGCAACATATGCTCCCAAATGTACCCAACAATTCCAAGACACAGACCGTCAAACCACCACCCATCTCATCACCTCACAACCTCCAGCTACTCAGGCATGCATCTCATGCTACAATTCTTCCTCTCAACCATTCTGCATGCCTGCATCACCTCATGCCCCCTAAGCGGAAAGGCGCAGCTCCTGACCATTGAAGGCGGAGAAGCGGCAGTCAGTGGCAGTGACGGCGCTGGTCTCATAGTCCCTTTCCGATCACAGCCCCCTCCACCCCCCCCTCCCCCCAACCCCCGTCCTTCAACCTGACAAAAGCAAACCGCCCCTGCAACATTTTAAGCAGAAAAGGGCAGCGTCTGGCCGTTGAAGGCAGAGTAGCGGCAATCAGTGGCGGTGACGGCGCTGGTCTCATAGTCCTTCACCTGCCCGTCCAGGAAGCCCTTGCCCTCCGCGCCATCGGCGGACACGGGGTGGTGCAGCATGGCAGCGAGCCGAGAGAACTCCACTGTGCGCGCCTCCCTGCCGCCACGGTACGTCTGCCCCATCACGCCGTGCACGCTGCTGCTCGGATTCGCCTCCTGAAACATCACGTTGATGTGCACCTGGGCGTCGTCAGGTGTTTGCAACAGAGGGTGCGCGGGACGCAGCTTCAGGTCCAACTCCAGGAGCCCCTTGATGCTCAGATAATAGTGGTCCACGTCGTATGGCCCGGTCTTCTCCTCTCCCACAAACTCCACAAGCACCTTCCCGCCGGCCAGGCTGCGCGTCTCACCAGGAGCAAGGCGGGGGAGAGGCGTGCCGTCGAGCTCCGCCGAAGCGAGGAACCCAGACTCGCCGCGGAGCTGCTCCTTGCTGTCGCGCGCCGTGAGCACCAGCGAGTGGGAGGCGGGCTTGGCGGACACGGTGTTGTCGCTGTCGGCGCGGTCGTCGGTCCACATGAGGGCGAGCTGGCGGATCCAGGTGCGCACAGCGGAGCCGTTGACGACGAGGGCGTGAGAGTTAATCGTGGAGCGCGAGTCGAGGTACCCGCGCATGCCCATGTTCACGTGCACCGCGCGGTCCGTGTACAGGCAGAAGTTCTTCTCGGGCAGCCCGTTGAAGTCGAACCGCGTGCCGTGCGCGCCCAGGAAGTGCGGGTCGTTCTCCCCGAATGGGCACCGCTTGCCAACGCGAACCTTGGGCCCACTGGTTGCGCTGGTTAGGTTGGATTTGACGGGCTGGAGACCGTCAATCGATGGGATCAGAACACAGGAGCCGTTGGATCTGGAGAGCACAACAGGGGTGCAGTTTGAGGGGGAAGGGAGTGGTGAGGGAGGAATGGAGAAGAGGGGGGAAGAAAGGCGAGCTGCGAATGTTGGAACATAAGAGTTGATGGACGGCTGAAAAAAAGTAAGATTTCAAGGAGGTGAAAGAGAAGAGAGAAATGTGTTTAAGTGGATGCACTTGAACTCAGAAAAAACTCAAAAAGGCAGGACGGAAAATGAGCAACGAACCTCGCGTGGGTGTACTAATGAGATGTTTCACTAATGGAATGTTATGTGCTACTAACGGAATGTGGTACTCACGGGATGTGCACCCAGAAGCGGCAGTTGAACGGATCCCCAGAGGCAGTCGCATTGGTGCTATTGCACAGACCGCAGCAGTCCCTCGCGTATAAGATCTCCGTGTCGCCACCCCCCACGCACCACGCCTTATCTGCGTCCACAGGCACTGCCACGCCTCCCGCCGCTGCTGCCATGCTCGCACACTCGCTGTGCTCAGGGATTCGCCAGTAGTCCAGCGACCCCGCGTTATCGTCACACTTGCCATGGTCACATGCAGGAGAACCGCCTGAAGAACCACCTGAAGAGCCGCCTGAAGAGCCACCGCCGCTGCTTCCGCCGCTACTGCCACCCCGATTGTCGTTGCAAGGCCGTCCGTTGCTGCCGCCGCGACCCCCGCCGATGCCAATTCCGAGCGACACGCATCCGCTGACCCCCAGACCTAATCCGAACCCGCGGCCTGCACGCCTGCTGGCAGCGGCGCCGGCGCGAACCGCAGCGCTTGCCGCGGCGCTGGCGCTTCCCCCGATGCTCACTGCTGCTGCTGCTTCGGCAGATGACGATGCTGTTATTGCGACGAGGAGAGCGGCGAGGAGGAGGAAGGGGAGGAACGAACGAGCCATGGCCTGTGCTGGAGTTGGAGGCTGAGAGGAAGGATTTCTGTATACCGCTGTTGGAGCCGGGAAGCAGCTATTTGAAAACCGCTTCTGAGAATTCTCAAAAGCTGTTCGAGATGGGGAGCAGCTAAGCAGCGCTGATGGAAAGCTGCTATGCAGAGATGAGTCTCGGAGTGCGATTGATGGATGCTGAGAGTTTGAAGTGGCACGGCATTTATACCGCGTGGAGGACTCGATGCGGTTGACGCGATTTGGGGTGGCTGGAGCCGCTTTGTTCTTAGTAGGCGCCGGCCCTGGCACCTCATGGCGGCGTCGAAGGACTCTTTAGGATCAGCCATAAGCGAGTGTCAACGCCGTTCTCGGGTGCGAGCGGAGAAAGCGGTGACTACGTTGTGAAGTTCACAACGGGAGGGTGGGTGGGGGTGGGGTCGGGGTTTGTCATAAGGGACGGCGGAGAAATCTGGGGAATCTGTAATTACAGGCCCGAGGGGCTGCCGACAGTGCTGTTAGGGTTGGCTTGGGTGGCTGTTTCAGTGCGCACTGGGTGATAGGAGTCTGGGTGTCAGTCGCGAAAGACGGTATGGTGCTTGCGAGAGGTTGAACCTGTAACGTTCTATTGCAAGTACTACACGAGATCATAATCTTTGTTAGGAGAAGAATGTGTTGGGAAGATTAGCTAGGCTTACATTGATTAGTAATAAATATATATACGTGAAAAATGATGAATTTATGCTATTTTTTCAAAGGGTTTAGCTACAAAATTTTGATGAAGAATATATTCTACGAGGCAATTTTTGATAAATATTATTGTGTACACTTCTGTTTCTCATCAGTGTTCGAGGTTCGTGATTGGCCACAGTGGATACCTCAATTGAGGCTGATGATAAAGATCCTGTACTGAAAGGGAATATTCTTGCCTTGTTACGTAAGTGGATCTCCTCGGTCGTGGCGAGGATTACGTGTCAGGGATCCAAGATTGACATTGTGTCGCACGTGCCATCAATGGTTGCTGTCCCATTGCATCAGTACATGCTGCTGGAATGCCAGGTGCTGAACACCGTCCAGGTTGGGTAATGACTGGCAAAATGGCAACGCCACCTTGCTGGTTTATTAATGTGACAGTTTCTGCTTAACCACAGGGAGGGGTTTGTGGCAAGCTTTTGTACGTGAAATTGTTACTTTTGTGCACCGTTTTACGTGAGGGTGGTACCTCGAAAAGTCCACACATTGGTTGTGAACACGACTTTGAGGTCCCGTCTTGACCCAGGCTTGTCAAACCTGTGCCAAGCCTAGCTATACTTCATCGCAACAGTGAAGTTGAGCCAATCAGGCCTTGGCGCTGAGGTGTCCTGCCGTGGCAGCGGGCGGAAACACGCGACTCGCGGGTGCAAGGGATGAAGAGGGGGTCCTCCGTGGCCCCGTCGGATTGGCTATTTTGATGCGCGGGGAGCAGCAGCACACAACGGGCGGACCACCAAGAGCAGCAGAGCGAGAGATGGGACGGGTTCGGACCCGTCACCCGCCCAGCCGCAGCCGCAAAATCAAAGGGTGCAACGATCAGAAAAAGGCCATAACCGTTGTGGAGCATCATCGTCACCGTTCCTAATTGCTTCACAAGTAGCGTCAATGCACTGCACTCCACTCCTGTCACTCGGCCCTCAGTCGTAAAAAGCCTTCACTAATGTTCATAGCGTTATCTGCGCATTACTCATTTTCTATCCCGCTCCTAGCCGCGTGTTTTGCAGCTCCAGCCGAGCTCCCTCGGGTGTTTCCCGGCGATTCTCCCAGCGCATTCTGACTTTCAATTCGCCGGAATGGTTGTCATTCAATCTGTACACCCGCTCCCAATCGAGCAAGGCTCGTTTCACCTACTATCAACCGAGCATGGCTCGCTGCGTTCGAGCCGCCGTAAATTAGGCAGCGGCGGAGCTTCTTTCCGCAGTCAGCCGCTTGTCGCCAGCAGACGAGCAGTCAAAATCGTGCCACGTGCATCTGCTTCACCCTCTCCCTCCTCTTCCTCCGCTTCCTCGTCCTCCTCCTCATCTCCCCCTTCTCTCTCCTCCTTACCATCTACTTCCCCTCACTCCTCAAGCCCTCCCTCCGTCACCCGCAAGTCTTATTTCGATGCGCCTTTACCTAACCTCCCCTGCTGGCCTGCTCCTTCCGCCAATGCCGCTGCGTTCGCCGCCACCGGCGGCGCGCGCCGCGCCGTTCAATCCTCCGCGGCGGGAACCGCGGCGGGATCTGCGGAGTCGGCGCAGCAAGGGACGGTGTCGGTGGGGGTGGACGTGGAGGAAGGGGAGGACGGCGGACACGTGGGACCAATGATGAGCCGCCAGCTGTTGCGGACGGCGCGTGGCGGCGAGCTGAGCGACGACGAGGAAGAGGTGGACGGCATCGCGGCAATCCCGAAAATTCGACGAGGTGCGCTGTCGTTGTCGTCATTCACCTGGCCTCCTTAGCATGTGCGTCCGTCCCCTTCTCCGCGCGTCCTTCCCCCTCTCTGATCGTCATTTTCCCTCTCCGCGCGCGCGCGCGTATCTCCCCTTTCCGCGCAGTGCTGGAGCAGGAGCAGCGGATGCTTGCGGCAGTGGACATGGGCACCAACTCGTTCCACATGGTCGTCGTTATGTTGGGAGTCATGCTTGAAAATTCTCAAACTCACCCGTCCCGCTCTACGCGCGTCCTTCCCCATCTCCGCGCGCCATTTCCCCTCCCCGCGCGACCTTTTGCCCTCTCCGCGCGCGCACCCTTTTCCCTCTCCGCGCGCGCGCCCTTACCCCCTCTCAGTGCCGGAGCAGGAGCAGCGGATGCTAGCGGCGGTGGACATGGGCACCAACTCGTTCCACATGGTCGTCGTTAAAGCCGACAACAAGGGGCGCTTCGAGATCGAGGACGTGGAGAAGGAGGACGTGCGCCTCGGCAGCGGCAGGTATTGCACTGTTCCGATAGCATCGCGGTGTTTACGGATTGAATCGTTTAAAACATGAAGGACGCGTGACACGGCAGTATGCGAATGTTTATATCCGGGTCAGGTTAATCGAGGCGTGACGGCTCCACGAAGATGGAACACGTAAATCAATCTCTTAGGCGATTGTCACGTGGCAGTCGTTTCAAATCCCTTAATTCCAAACCCGCCTTTCTTTGGGCTAGTATCTATAGTTCCGAAACATGTCACGTTCTTGAAGATCACAGTTACCTACCTTGTTTCCTCGTTCCAACTGCTGCTGACTGTGTCGAGCTGCTGACTCACCTGATTCATTCCCCGTTGGACACGTGGCAGTTCCGGGTTCGCTGTGATCACCCCCGAGGCGGAGGAGCGCGCGCTGGCGGCCGTGCGACGGCTGAAGCAGATCGCGAAAACGCGTGGCGCGGCGATGCGCGTCGTTGCCACGTCAGCAGTGCGCGAGGCGCGCAACCGACGGTCGTTCGTGCGCCGCGTGCTGGACACCACCGGGATCGACGTGGAGGTGCTATCCGGCCAGGAAGAAGCCTGCCTTATCTACCTCGGTATTCTCCAGGTCCGTACTCTGGCCTCCTGTCCCCCTGGCCCCCTTGCGCCCTTATCCCCCTTGCCTCCCCGCCCGTCCCCTGGCTGCTGGGCACCACTGGGGTTGGCATGGAGGTGCCATTTGGCCAAACAAGACAAGACCTACCTCAGCTACTCTGGTATTCAACAGGTCTGTTCTCCGCCCACTCCCCTTCACCCTCCCCCTCCCTCTGCATTCCCCACCCTCCTCGTTCCCCCCAGGCCCTCCCAGTGTATATCAAGACAGTGCTGACGGTGGACATAGGAGGCGGCTCATGCACTCTTGCACTCACTCGCCCACTTTCTCTCCATTTCTCTCACTTCCCCATTCCACTCTCTCTCTCTCTCTCCCAGGTCCTCCCAGTGACCTCAAGAAGGTGCTCACGGTGGACATAGGAGGCGTGATTGAAGAAGTGTTTTGAGACGTCTCAAATCACGGTGGACATAGGAGGCGGAGGTTGCATTCGCTCTCCCCTTAATAAAAGGCCCTATTCCTTGCGCTCCCGTTTTTCTTCTTCCCCTCCTCGTTCCCCCCAGGCCCTCCCAGGGAACCACATGACAGTGCTGACTGTGGGCATTGGAGGCGGGTCATAAACTCGTACACTCACTCGCTCACCTTCTCTTATTCTCTTTTCCTCCCCTTTCACCATCTCTCTCCCCCAGGCCCTCCCAGTGTATCACAAGACGGTGCTCACAGTCGACATTGGAGGCGGAAGCTGCACTCACTCTCACCCCCCTCCCGCTCATCCCTCCCCTCCCTCCCCATCCCTCCCCTTCCCCCACCCCCCAGGCCCTCCCAGTGTATCACAAGACGGTGCTCACGGTCGACATTGGAGGCGGGTCAACGGAATTTGTGATTGGTCGGGAGGGCAAGCCGCTCTTTGCCACGTCACTCAAGCTGGGCCACATTCGCCTCACCGAGAAGTTTGCATGTGAGTGTGTGTGCTTGTAACGAGGATGGTGTTGAAACAGCACGTGCAACCTTTTTCAGAATACAATAAAACGAATCATCAAAGAACATGCTTGACACAGCACTAGTTGCCCACTTAGGCAAGATTAAGACACCGTGAAGGGGAGAAAAATTGGTCCCTAGTCAGAGTGAGCGCTTGTCTGTGATATATCCCTCCCTTCCTTTCGTCCACTCCCTCCTCCCTCTCTCCCCTCATCCCTGTCATCATTGACGCTCCCTCCTCCCTTCCTCTTCTCGTCCCTTGCCTTTCCGCTCCTCTCCTCGTCCCCTGTCCACCCGCTCCTGTCCTCTTCCCCAGCGGGTGGGCTGTCCAAGAGTCAGCAGATTCTGGAGATGCGGCGATACGTGCGCGTGCTGCTGGCCGACTCGGGCGTGCTGGAGGTGGTGAAAGGGTGAGTGGGAGTGAGTGAGTAGAGATGCTTTGCGGTGAAGTGTGGTGCACAAACCAGAGGAAAAGTGCGAGTGCTGGTGACTGGTTTGGGTATGCCGCAAGGTGGACGCAACCTATTTATTCTGTCTGCTACTTGTTTCGCCTGCTCTGTTTTTGTTGTTTTGCCCTTATCTTGCAAGGCTCGAAGGAAACAGTGCTTGCGGCTAATCAAAGGGCATCTTCAACGCTTGATTGTTTGTTTGTTTGTTATTTCTGCAGGGCCGAGAACGAAATAGAACTGTCAATAGGTAGTTCGGGCACCATTGAAACAATCGAGCAGATGATCCACCAATCGCGGGCCAGCGGTACCATTAGCACGGGCAGCGCTGCAACCATCGCCACTGCCAGCACCAGCAGCGGCAGCAGCAGCAGTGGGAGCGGGAGCAATGGCTCCTTGGTAGCAGCCGGGGCGCAGAGCGGGAGGAGCAGCGGTGGCGGTGGGAAAGGAGGAGGGGGAGGAGGGGGACTCAGTGGAGTCATGCAGAATCAAGAGGTGAGAATTGAAGAGTTCTGCAGCGCCTAGCAGACAACAAAGACCGGGAATTCACCCTGGAAGAGCTCTCCGCTGTGGTCAGGAAGACCTGCATGGCCAAAACGCCTCACAACCAACTTGTTCATTCCCTCTCTGCCTTCCCACTGCTACCTACAGTACAACCTGTGACAGGCTGTTCTGCGGCGCCTATCAGACAAAAAAGGCCGTGAGTTCACCCTGGAAGAGCTCTCCGCTGTGGTCAAGAAAATCTGCAACCCAATTGTCCATCCCCTCTTTGCCTACCCTACCTACCTAATTACACCCCCCCTCGCAGGCTGTCCTGCAGCGCCTAGCAGACTTCAAGGACCGGGAGTTCACCCTCGAAAGGCTCTTTGCCGTGGTCAAGAAGACCTGCAAGGCCAAAAACAATTCAGAACCCACTTGGATTCTTCCTTTTCTTGCCACCACCACCCCCACCACAGGCTGTTCTGCGCCGCCTAGCAGACCTGAAGGACCGTGAGTTCACCCTCGATGACCTCTCTGCCATCCCCTCAAAACCCACTTCTTTGCTTCCCTTTCTTGCCACCCCCACCCCCACCCCCACCACAGGCTGTTCTGCGCCGCCTGGCCGACCTGAAGGACCGAGAATTCGCCCTGGAAGAGCTCTCCGCCGTGGTTAAGAAGATCTGCAACCCAATTGTGCATCCCCTCTCTGCCTACAACCCCACCACAGGCTGTTCTGCGGCGCCTGGCCGACCTGAAGGACCGTGAATTCACCCTGGAAGAGCTCTCCGCCGTGGTTAAGAAGATCTGCAAGGCAAAAACCCCGGACGCGCGCGCGAAGCTGCCCGGGCTGCCCGAGAAGCGCGCGGACGTGATCCTGGGCGGCGCGATTCTCCTGGAGGAGATCTTTTTGGCCATGGGGATTGAAAAGATGCGCGTGTCTCCGTATGCTCTGAGGGAGGGCGTGATTGTGGACACTCTGTCTCGCACCTTCACGGACTTCAGCATCACTCCTGACTTGCGGAGGAGCTCGGTGCTGAAGATGGCCGGGAAGTTTAATACTGGGCTGCGAAAGGAGTCGGCTAAGCACTGCGCGCGCCTGGCCCAGGTGAGCCACGTGCGAAAGTTCATGTAAGCAGCTGTCCAAACTCATATCGGAATAGCTGCAAATCCTGAAGAAAACGCTTAAGCAACTGTAAGGAACGAAATTGTAAAAAACTTTTTCAGAAATCGAAGTAGTACAAGAAACCCCTTAACTCGAATTAGCCACGTGTGAAAGTTCATGTAAGCAGCTGTCAGGGGCCGTGCAGTGCCTCTCTGAGGGGACCTGAGAAGGAGCGTTGTGCTGTGCTGAAGATGGCCGGGAAGTTCAACACCGGGTTTAGGAAAGAGTCAGCTTTGCACTGTGCTCGCCTGGCGCGGGTGAGAGGGATCAATGTGGAGAGGGATGGAGAGAGTGGGGTAAGTGAGAGAGGGAGAGAGCGATGGGGTGTGGGTGAGTGAGGGAGAGAGAGCGATGGGGATTGAGAAGATGCGGGTGTGGGGTGAGTGAGGGGGTGTCTGTGTACGCGCCTCTTTGAGGCGCATAAATCAGCGCTGAGGGAGGGCGTGATTGTGGACGTTATGTCTCTGTCTCGCCGTCTCCCCCTCTCACCTTCACTGACTCTTCCCCCCCCCCGGTCCCCCCCTCCCCGTCTCCCCTTCCCGTCTCCCCCTCCCCGTCTCTCCCCACTTGGTAATTCTTCCTCTCTGCAGCAAATCCTGGTGAGCATGCAGACGTGCAAGATGGGCGGCTCAGATTGCATCTTTTGTCCTATCTCCAATCACTCTCCTCCTCACATGCCCCTTCCCCCCCGCCTCTCCCCGTTTCTTTTGCTTCCTCTCCGCAGCAAATCCTGGCAGGTATGCAGACGTGCAAGATGGGCGGCTCAGATTGCGTGTCGCCGATGATGGCTCTTTTGGACGGCAACGATTTCGAGGTGCTGGAGGCGGCCACAGTGCTGCACTATGTGGGCATGTTCATCTCCCACAAGGGCTACCACAAGCACTCGTACTACTTGATTAAGGTACGGTAAAAAGGTTGACCTGGTTACTCAAGCACAAACTGGTTGCCCTGGTTACTCAAGCACAAACTGGTTGCCCTGGTTACTCAAGCACAAACTGGTTGCCTGCCGACATGCCACCATGCCGCCATGTCGCCATGCCTTGCCTCCCCACTTCCCCCCTTTTCCTCTCCTTCATCCCTCAACCTTTTCTCTATTTGAACCCCAAACTCTTCCATCTTTTCCCAAGCTCTTCCCCACCCTTCCTCTGCTCGCCGCCCTTCTGACCCCCACCCTTCCTCTGCTCGCCGCCCGTCCGACCCGCACAACCCCTCCTCCCCTTCCGCCCCTCCGCCCTTCACCGTTCCGCAGAACCCCAGGTCTTGCAGCGTTCGTAGCAGCTTCACGCCCATCAGCTTCCAAACGTGGTGACTTTTGAGTCGACTCAAAAGTCACCTCTTGCAGCATTCGCGCAGCAGCTTCTCGCCCATCAGCTTCCAAACGTGGTGACTTTTGAGTCGACTCAAAAGTCATCTCTTGCAGCATTCGCGCAGCAGCTTCTCGCCCATCCGTTTCCAAACGATGAATCCCTCCCACCTTTTCTTCCCCCCCCACCCCCCTTTTTTTCCCCTTACGCTTCCATCCCTCTGCTCATTCTCTCCCTGAAACCCATGTCGTGCAGCATTCGGAGCAGCTGCTGGGGTACTCACCCATGGAAGTCGAGGTGAGCGGAAACACATGACTAGCATGGGGGGTAGGGGGGCGGAGCATGGGGGGTAGGGGGGCGGAGCATGGGGGGTAGGGGGGCGGAGCATGGGGGGTAGGGGGGCGGAGCATGGGGGGTAGGGGGGCGGAGCATGGGGGGTAGGGGGGCGGAGCATGGGGGGTAGGGGGGCGGAGCATGGGGGGTAGGGGGGCGGAGCATGGGGGGTAGGGGGGGCGGAGCATGGGGGGTAGGGGGGCGGAGCATGGGGGGTAGGGGGGCGGAGCATGGGGGGTAGGGGGGCGGAGCATGGGGGGTAGGGGGGGCGGAGCATGGGGGGTAGGGGGGCGGAGCATGGGGGGTAGGGGGGCGGAGCATGGGGGGTAGGGGGGCGGAGCATGGGGCGTGGGTGGCGGGGTGTGGCAGTGGGGCACGCAGCATTCAGAGCAGCTGCTGGGGTACTCACCCATGGAAGTCGAGGTGAGCGGAACGCACATGAATGGCGGGACACGGGGCACTGGGCATGGGGCATTGGGGGCATGGAACATGGGGCATGGGGCATGGGGCGCATGTTGTGTCTTTCGCATGCTTATGCAACGGCTCCCCGTCTCTCTTCCCCCCTGTTCTGCCACACAAGCAAGTCTTGGGAAGTCTCAGAATGATCCCTTCCTCCCTTCCCTCCTCCCCACCTTCCAATGGTCCCCCTTTCCGCTTCCAACCTGCCCCCCTTTTCCTCACCAGATGGTCACCCTTCTCATGCGCCACCACTGCAAGCGCCCGCCATCCACCAAGGATGAGGACTTGGCCAAGCTGCCCCCTGATTATCAACCTGCCTCCCATTGCCCTGGTCCCTCACTCACCCCCCTCACTCCCCACCCCATCAGATGATTGCCCTGCTAGTACGCCACCACCGCAAGCGCCCACCCTCCACCAAGGACGAGGACTTTGCCAAGCTGCCCCCCGTGGTGCAGCAGAAGATCCGAGCCCTCTGCGCCATCATGCGCATCGCTGTAGCCCTTGATCGCTGCTACACGGGCGCTGCTGCGAGCGTGCTCGTGCTGCAGGACGACGACTCTTGTGTGCTGGTGAGTGTGTTCTGTGACGGGTGGGCTTATATATAGCGAGTACATGTGGCTCTGTGCCATCATGCGCATCGCTGTGGCGCTCGATCGATGCTACACGGGCGCTGCTGCGAGCGTGCTCGTGCTGCAGGACGACGACTCATGCGTGCTGGTGAGTATACGCTTATAACGAGAGGCGAGTTTGCTCACAATGCGTACAATAATGTGCATCGTGCGCATCGCCCGTGGCGCTCGATCGCTGCTACACGGGTGCTGCTGCGAGCGTGCTCGTGCTGCAGGACGACGACTCATATGTGCTGGTGAGTGTGTGTGCATTTGCACTTGTAACAGGTGTGTTCATAGCGAGTATTCCGCTCTGCATCATGCGCGTTGCCGTGGCCCTTTGTCACCCCTCTGCATCCCCTCTTTTCCCCTGAAAATCCTGTGTCACCCCTCTACATCCCCTCTTTTCCCCTGTCACCCCTCCCCACCGCCCCTTCTCATCACCTCCAGGCGGTGACCCCAGCAGTGGATCCCCTCACAGGGGCGGCGCAGGACGTGTCTCTGGAGATGTGGATTGGGCTGCACACCACACCACCGCTCTCCACACTCACCTCTCCCCCGCTATTCCTTCCCACCGCCCTCCACCCCTCCCAACACCTTCAGGCGGTGACCCCGGCAGTGGATCCCCTCACAGGGGCGGCACAGGACGTGTCTCTGGAGATGTGGGCGGCACGGGGCGAGCTTGAGTACTTCCACAAGGTACCTCCACCCTGGGGCCTTGTGCTTGGGGTTTGGGATTAGGATTTAGGATTACAGGGGTGGTGCAGGACGTGTCTCGGGAGAAGTGGGTGGGCGGCACGGGGCGAGCTTGAGTACTTCCACAAGGTACCTCCAACGCGCGCTCCGACCCTAGCGCTCCGATCCTAGCGCTCCGACCCTAGCACTCCGAATCCTAGCGCTCCGACCCTAGCACTCCAAACCTAGCGCTCCGATCCTAGCGCTCCGACCCTAGCGCTCCGACCCTAGTTCTTGAATTCACCCCGGGTTCAGAGGTCATGTTCATTGCTCTCATCAATTCGATGCCCTCGAAATGTTGGATCCAGGTTTGTCCCCCCTTGCTTGTTGTCGCTTCTTCTCTCACCACCCTCACCCAATTTCCCCCCACAATGCCGCGCGTCTCATGTGCACTGTGATTTCTCATTTCTTCAACCACCAGCCCTTATGCACCATGTTTCTCTTCTGCTAACCTCCTGCCCTTATGCACCATGTTTGCCTCTTCTGTTAACCTCCCAACCCATATGCGCCTTCTTTCTCTTCCCCCCCCCCTCCCCCCACTTTCCCCCCACTCTCGCCCCACTCTCCCCCCACTCTTTCCCCACTCTCCCCTCACTCTCCCCCCCCCCTCTCCCCCACTCTCCCCCCTCCCCCCGTTCTTCCCCCCTGAACACCGCGGTGTGCAGATATTTCAGATGGCCCTGCCCATTGGCATTACGGATGACCTATAGACCAGAGAGCCTAGAGAGAGCCAATGCATTCCTAGAGAGCCAGCCAGGAGCCTTTGGGTCGACACAAAAGCCCCCCCCCCCCCCCCCCCCCCCCCCCCGCGTTCCTCCCCCCTGCACCCCACATTTGCAGATATTGAAGAAGTCGCCGTCCATTGCCATTGCGACACCGACCTGCTATTGAGCCGCCTCAGAAGCCTCCCTTCATTTCTCCCTGCTCCCCCAGTGCACTGTGCAAAGATTCAAGAAGGCGCGGATGACCATGATGCTGACCTGTTGCTGGCAGAGCAGTCCAGAAGTCCCTCATTCCCCCCCCTGGATCCCGCAGTGTGCAGATATTGAAGAAGGCGCAGTCCATTGCCATTGCGGATGACCTTGACGCGGACCCGCTCCTCGCAGAGCCCGCTAAGAGAGGAGCCTTTCCAGTCGGCTCAAAAGTTCCCCCCGTTCTCCCTCCTGCTACCCACGCTCTGCAGATATTTAAGAAGGCACCGTCCATAGTCATTGCGGATGACCTTGACACCGACCTGCTGCTGGCAGAGCAGTCCAGGAGCCTCAGCTCTTAATTAAGTTCCAAAGGTACCACTACTCTTCAGAATTCAAGTGTCTCAAAAGGCCCTCTATGGAGATGTCCTAAGGATTGGTGAAGGGCCCTGATTTAGTTTCAGCAGCTAGCGGATCCTCGTGTTGCCCCCCTGTGGCTTTGAGCAGATTCCGTGAGTCATCCCTTCGATTATATTTGTGCAAAGATAATGAGAGTCTGAAATAAGTGAGGAATGTGTGTGGTGCTGGTGAGTGATTTGAATGGTGGATTGTTCCAGTTATGTATAGTGTGATTTTGGTTTTTGTATGATAATGTGGAGAATCACCAGTGGCATGGGAAACATTGTCATTCAGCAAGTTACACTGGTGCTAATCACATTTGACCTGGCAAAAACAACGATGACCTTCTCTCAACACACTTCTCCCCTGTAAGGAATTTTCTCGGCATTCCTTACCGAGTCCGACTCCATCGCGTACAGCAACAGCCGTTGTTCGCCCGTTACTGCTAACGGGGCTTTGCCAACTTCGCGCGTACTATTTTGCCAAACCTCGCACTGCTGGACCGGCCGTGTCGGCCTATGCTTCGGGACTAGCCCGAGCCTCGCTGCCAACATAGCACTAACTAGCTCGCACGCACCGCGTTACGGTTTGCATATTTCGCGTATAAATGTTCGCTCATGCCTTCGCTCACATTTTGTACTCGTTTGACACCTGAGTGCAATCCTCGCTACCTCGATCCATTGCACCCTTAACACTTGGTATTTAGAGCCTCTTTTTTTCGGACCGCGCATCTCCGCACCAGGGCTCTCGCTAGGATTTTGGCCTGTCTGAAAAACCTAAACCCAAAAATCTGTTTCGTCTGATGTTCGGACGGGAAATTTTCGCGTGTCTGTCTTTTCAGATGAAATTCCATTGCATGTCTGAAATCTCAGACGATTTTTTTTTCCGCGTTTGATGTTGCAACTTGCATCTTGATGATGCAGCAGCGGTGCATTAGACTGCACGTTAGTGGACAGGACTGTGAGGCATGGGGCTCGAGAGGGGAGTGGGGCTGGACTAGGGTAAGAGCGGGCAATGTGGGGGAAGGGTTGGGCTAGGGAAAGGTATGTGAGAGTCGGCACGCCCCGTGGCGTGCCCCTCGCGCTTCTCTTAGCGGCCCCGTTGCCGCCCTTCCTAGCCCCTCGCAGCCCCTTCGCGGCCCCGTTGCCGCCCTTCCAGGCCCCTCGCGGCCCCTTCGCGGCCCCGTCGCCGCCCCTTTCGCGGCCCCTCGCAGCCCTCTTAGCATCTTGGCACGCTATGTTGCTCCTGGGAGACACCGACCAGAGCACATGGCTGCAGCGAAGAGGGTGTTGCGCTACTTGTGCAGTACGTCGGGCATGGGGCTAGTGCTTGGAAGGGCGACGTCGAGTGGTCCTCACAGGTCACGCAGATGCTTCTTGGGCTGACGACCAGGCTACGCAGCGGTCGTCACAGGGTTACACCTTCAGCCTTGGTTCCGGCTCTGTTTCGTGGCGGTCTACCCGCTCGTCTTCTGTTCTTGGCTCCAGCTGTGAGGCTGAGATCTACGCCGGGGCCATGGCTGCACACGAGCTACGCTGGCTCACCTACCTGCCGACTGACCTAGGAGAGCCGCCTCGTTCTCCTCCAGTTCTGTACGTAGACAACAAGGCCATTCTAGCCTTGTGTCGGGAGCACAGACTGGAGCAAAAACGAAGCACATTGCTCTCCGCTACTTCCTTGCACGTGAGCTGCAGCAGCGTGGTCAGCTGCGCCTTGCTTACGTGGCTTCTCAGGCCAACACTGCTGATATCTTTACACAGGCGCTTCCGCCTGGTGATCATTAGCATTTCTGTACGATGCTAGGTCTTGTGCCTTCTTGGCCTCACTTGCTCACTTCTTGACCTTGCTTGTACTGTGATCTTTCTATACCTGCACTTGCTTGTTTACCTTTATATATGATCTTGCATGTGAACTGGCCTTGTGGCTTTGCTCTTGTGCTCGGAATGGGTGGTGACGTTGTGATCCACCCTGAGCTTGTTTTGCTTTGCTTGACTGGTCTTGTGACCTCTTGTTCTCCCCCACTTTGCCTATGGGGGTGTGTCAAACTCATATCATATAGCTTGTCTAGGCTATAGTGGGGTAGACACTATGGGGTACAGTTTCCTAGGGTTTCCTACTTGTACCCAACCTTGTGCTAGCTCATTCATTCCTCATTTCTTTCACATATACCTGGACGACATACTGATTTAAAGCCCTGACAGAGCACAGCACTTACAGGACATCGAAGTAGTTTTTAAGATACTGATTGAGAACCGCCTACTCACAAGAGCGTTGAAGTGTGAGTTTTTACAGGACCGGCTGGAGTTTTTGGGACACATTATTTCAGCTGCAGGAGTGGAAATAGACCCGAAACAAATTGCGACGATTCAAGCATGGCACGCGCCGACCAACTTGACCGAGTTGCAGAGTTTTATGGGGTTCGTCAACTACGTGCGCCGGTTCGTCCCCGACATGGCGAAGCTGACTGCCCCGCTGACCGACCTGCTGAGGAAGGGGGTTGAGTACACGTGGGGGGAGAAAGAGCAAGCTGCCTTCTCGGCCCTCAAAAACATTTTGTGCTCACCTGCTCGTGCTTCACATCGCAGATCCACACAGTCCGTTCGAGCTCGTCACCGACGCAAGTGACATCGCTATGGGAGCAGTACTGTTGTAGGATTTCGGGAACGGCCTCCAGCCAATCGCGTACGAGTCCCGCAAGCTGTACCCGCCCGAACGCAACTACCCGATACACGACCGCGAAATGTTGGCGATCGTGCACGCGTTCAAGGTTTGGCGGTGTTAACAGACTGGCGCCGACGTGACATTACGGACAGTACCTGCGTGCCCAACCAAATCTCAATCCGCGACAGATTCGCTGGTTGGACTACCTCGAGTCCAACTTCCACTACACGCTTACGTACAAGAAAGGCGCATCCAACATCGCTGACGAACTCACCCGCCCTACCGCCCAACTCCATGCCATCCATCTCGCCCAAACCAACCCGCTATTAACAGGCCTATTCACCCACGGAGATCGCACTGACCCATTTTTCACGACCGGAAATTCACAGCAACTGGCAGAAGCTAAAGAAGTTTATTACGTAAAAGCAGGCATCAACCACATCTGGGTACCCGCGTACCCACAACTGAGGGAGCTGTTACTGAAGGAGGCACACGACGGAATTACCTCGGGACATTTTGGGGTAGAAAAAACGCGACAGCAACTGCAGCGGTATTACTATTGGCCGGAGCTGTTGACCGACGTGCAGCAGCACGTGGGCTCGTGCCCCACGTGTCAGGTGATGAAGAGCTCGAGGAAACGGAAGGCGGGTCAACTACAGCCGATACCACCGCCCGAGCACGCCTAGCAGTAGGTTGCCGCTCCCTCCGGTGTGTCCCAGGTAGACCCGGTTGAGCCTGTCGAGGTAGCGGTCGACTCTCGTCCTGCTAGGGGTGCTGAGCCTGAGCGTGAGGAGCCTGGGGGTGCTGAGCCTGAGCGTACGGAGCCTGGGGGTGCTGAGCCTGCGGGTGCTGAATCTGGGGGTGCTGAGCCTGAAGGTGCTGAGTCTGGGGGGTGCTGAGCCTGCGGATGCTGAGTCTGGGGGTGCTGAGCCTGAGGGTGCTGAGTCTGGGGTGCTGAGCCTGGGGGTGCTGCGACTGACCATGCTGCGCCTGGAGGTGCTCCCTCTTCACAGCAGCTGCGAGAGTGGTATTCGCGGTACTGCAAAGCCTCAAGAGAGGCACTTCTAGGGCTAGGGGTACTGCTGGAGCTGGTGCTCGTGGTTCCCCGCCTAGGCGGGAGCTGCCCTCTCCCCAGTGGCTCCGAGAGTGGTACGCTTGGCGCTGCAGTTTCCGGAGTGGTACTACTGGTGCTTTGGACCCTGGAGCTGGAGCTGCTGTTGGTGCCGCGGACCCTGAGGCTGGTGCTGGTGCTGCTGGTGGTGCTGCTGGGAGGTGCTGCTGGTGCTGGAGCTGCTAGGGGCGCTGCTGGTGCTGGAGGTGCTGTTGGTGCAGGTGCTACTGGAGGTACTGCTAGTGCTGGAGCTGCTGGAGGTGCTTCTAATGCAGGTGCTGCTGGAGGTGCTGCTGGTGCTGGAGCTGCTGGAGGTACTGCTGGTGCTGGAGCTGCTGGAGTCGCTGGTCCTGGAGGTGCTCGTACTGTGCTGGGACTGGAGCTGCTGCGGGAGTAGGAGCTGGAGGTACTGGAGCTGCTGGTGCTCCTGGTGGTGCTGCAAGAGTTGTAGCTGGAGACCCTGGAGCTGAGGGTGCTGGAGCTGTCCCTGCTGGTTCCCGGGGTGCTACACAGCCGCGGCCGTACTATGTTCCGCTCCTTCAGTAGGTTCTTGGCCTCCCGCACTCTCCTGGTCCTACTCCTCCCCTACTGAGTCCACCGCCTGTCCAGTCACAGTCACAGTTACAGCCTGCCTCTCCGCTGCCTGGTCCTCCTTATGCTGGGCCAACTAGAGGTCTTACGGAGCGTCGTGAGCTTGAGTCTCGTCCTGCGTCGCCTAAGTCTCGTTCAGCGTCGTCTGTCCGTGCTGGTCGTCGTGTTCCGCGCGAGCGTCCTCCTCCTGTCCCTGGCCCTCACTACATGACTTTGCGTCCTTCCACTGCTCCACAGCGTATCCCTCTGCCGTCTCCTCCTGGGTCCTCTCTTCCTGACGGTCCTGACCTGGAGTCTGACTCCCTTCGGGATGCCAGTCCTACTATCACGCGTCTCCTCGCCACTGCTGTCACTGACCCTACCTTTGAGTCCTCTGCTGCGTCTGCTCTAGTCGCTGAGTTAGTTGACTTTGCTGCCGCCTGTCGTCTAGACTACGCCGCTAGCCTTGTAACTGAGTCTGAGTCTATCTGTCCTCCGTCCGTCGGGGGTGAGTGTGCTCTTGGCACGGACGTCCTTGAGGACAGACAGGAGGAGTTTGAGTGCTTGACCTCATCTCGTGTCCATGCTGATTGCCCCTGAGGGAGACCCGGATGCACCAGA